CGACACAAGTCTTATACTTTTGGTATATTCCGAGAGGGTCAAGACTGATGTGGAGCACAAATTAGGTAAACTTATCACGACACTTCGATCTGATCGAGTATTTGAGTATTTCTTGGGATAGTGCAAAGACTATATGGTCAATGAGGGTGTTGTGTACCAGTTTTCCGCAATTGACGCTAAATTAATTTAGGTGTCAAATAGGAATAACAGAATTCCACTTAACATGGTTAGATCTATGATCAGTTATGCCACATTATCTTTTTCATTTAAGAGTTTAGCGTTAATGACATCGATGCGCATTATGAACTGCATTCCATCTTAGTCTGTCTCAAAGATACCGTTAAGCTGTGTTTTTAACTAAATCTTAGTTTGAATCACATGCACATATGGGGTAGTCTTGCACATGTGCGCTTGATATGGACAAGTAAGTTGGAAACAGATCATATGCATGATAGATTTGATAGCTACTCTAAAATGTCACTAGGACTGATTATTTTATGATCTCAATGATAAAAGTTGATTGTTTACACTCACTGTTTATTTATAAGAGAATCATATTATGAATCACATACCTAGTAGCATAGTGTTAGAGAATATGGTAAGAGTACCAGATGTACCACATATAAACACACTTATTATAGAAATTGAGAATAATATATGAATTCCCTATTGATGCGTCAGCATCATCTAGTACACAGATTCCTGCATCGGTACATTAATGTAGTGGGAGGATTATCATCCAACCGATAGAATCATGTTTTTAGGTGAGACCATTATGGACATCCCTGTTAAACATGAGTTGGACCCAGTAAGTTACACGGAAGCGTGAACCGATATGAATACAGATCGTTTTGGCGAGTTACTATGAAATCAGAGTTGGAATCTATGTATTCTAATAAATTCTGGGATCTTGTAGAACTTTCTAGTAGGGTGATACCTATGGAAGGCAAGTTAATCTACAAAAAGATACCAGAAGATTTCTTAGTGAATAAATTATGAGTGTACAAGGGAATGTCATTATTTTTCTAATTCTATATATATTGATGACATCCTACTCATTTAGAATGATGTGGAAGTTTTGTCATTAATAAAGAGGTAGTTGTTCAATTACTTTTAAATGAAGGATTTTCAGAATGTAAGCTAGATTCCTAGGATCAAGCTTTTGCAAGATCAGGTTAAAAGGAAAATAGGCTTATCTTAATAATCCTACATTGATAAAGTTTTGACCAGGTTTGGTATGCATAACTCAAAGAATGAGTTCTTGCTTTATTGATATGGATGGCTCTCTCTAGTAAGTAGTTTTTCAAGACTATCAAAGGAGATTGAGCAAATGAGACTGGAACAATATGTTTCGGCATATGAGAGTCTCATATATGCCATGGTCTATACCAAACAGGACATCCGCTACATAGTAGGGATAGTCAGTAAAGATCAGTCCAATACTGGACTTAACAACTGGTCTATTGTGAAAAATATCATTAAGTACCTAAGGAGAATCAATGATATCATACTCATTTATGGATGTGATGATATGGTCCTAGTCAGGTATGCTAGTTCTGATTTTCAATCAGAAGTAGATACTATGAGGTTCATGACTTAGTGTATGTTCACTTAATGGAAGGGAAATCAGTTGGTAGATTGTCAAGCAGATTTCAACTGTTGACTCAAACCTGCAGGTGGAATATATTGTAGCCTTAAAGGTGGCAATATAAGCCTATTGGTTTGATCTCACTAATTTAGAGGTTGTGGAGCATACTAGCCTGCCTATCGAGCTATATTGCGACAATAGTACAGAAGTAGTCCAAACCAATGACTCAAGGTTCCATAGATGAACAAAATACACTGATAGGAAGTATCATGTTCTACATGATATTATCCGGCAAGAAAATGTACTTGTAGCTAGAACATTGCATTGGAATACAACTTTGTTGATCCATTATCAAAGGTGTCATTGATCAATAATTTTGATCATCATCTGGATAACATTGGAGTTAGGTGCAATTTGAATTGGCTATGAGGGCAAGTGGGAGCTGTTGGGATTTATATGCCCTGGCATAGCAAATTCCTGTTTGGATTAATTGACATATGTTCCTGACGTTTCTGAAATATTTATGTTTTATACAATTGGTGAATTAAATGTATTATATTTCGATTCACTATGAAATTGATAGTGTCCATGTAATTACAAGAAATATTTATATATATGTACGTGATGGCAATCAATGCATGATATATAAATAGTAATTATAAATTGTTCATAGTCGGTAATTATGGATGGACTCATAATTAATTAAGACTTGAACTGGATCCGCGTTAGGTTGAGATATATTGCGAGAGCCGTCGTATGCAATTGCTCCCTATCACCGTCATAGCATTTGACTCTTAAGCATGAGAAAATTATAGACTCTTTTATTAATTAATAATTACTTTGATTTGTTCGGCGGATTCTTCGGAATCCTTAGACCGACACTTTGGATAATTATGTAATTAATAGTTAGAGGGTTATATTTTCAATATTTGCATCATTGCTACTTGTATTTATTTTGTATTGATTATTGTTGATCACAAAGTAAATTCGAAGGCCTTCGTATGTTTTTAGACAAAATGATTTATTATATATTTATTTATTAAATTATTATTTTTGTCGAACAAATGTTTTATTGTGATCAAGCCAGAAATAATCAAAGGTACCAAAATAAATATATTAATTAAGTAGTCGGATTGATGGCATTATTTATCCGATAACTAATTATGCATAGAGGGGTCAAAGTGTAACATTGACTTAGAGGTTATTTATTATTTAATTGGAGTTCAATTAATTTCTTTTAGTGGAGTAGAAATTAATTTATGAATTAATTTAATTGGGTCCATGGACCGGGCCAATCATTAATTCATTGTAACCAATAAAATAATAGGCCCAATGGATTCTCACTCATAGCCCAACTTGATATTGGAATCATATTAGATTTGAGACATGTGAATTAGAGATTGAGAAGGATTAGTTGTTTCCTTTTCTTTACCTTTATGTTGCCTATAAATATACATGGTCTATGTATATTTTAGGGGTGATTTTTAATGAGAAGGAAAAAGGAATTTATTTTCTCTCTCTAGAAAATTAGGGTTTATGTTCTCATCTAATGGAGGCTCCCACAAGCCTAGTTTTCCAAGGTCATTCATGGAGGCTTATGAGTGATTCCTAAAGGCAAAACAATTACCAAGAAGATGGAGATCCATGGAAAAGATGTCTAGCAAAAGGGATCTACAATAAGTTAGAACATTCACTTTAGAGGAGAGATCTGAGGTTTACTCAAACCTTGATGTAAGTATTCAATCTTTTAGTTGAATGATACATCATATTTTATTTTTACATAAAACTTGTCTCTATGTGATGAATCAAGATCTATGAATTTAAATCCCTCGAAAAGTTTTTAAAATTTGCACGTTTCCCAACATATATACCATTGGATTGGTGAAAAAAACTAAATAAAAAATAAAACTAAAAATTAAAAAGAGAGAACAAACAAACACAAGAGACCTAACATGAAAAATATTAATCATATTCACAAGTTGCCTTTGAAAATAAGTCCACATAAAAAGTTTACATGAATTTTTTTTTTTAAGTTGCGTAGCGCTTTAAATCTGAGATTGAAATAAATTTAATTTCTCTCCTGATTCTAAATTTAAACCACCGATTCAATGTTCAAAAATATTACATTAAGTAAATAAAGAGTAGAATCATTTCCGTGGCACCTAGCACTATTGCATATCATCATAGCTCGATGTATTCTACTCGATTATTTGAGATACGCAGGGTAAGAGTTCAATAATTCAATCTATAATTAAGAGTACTTTGCTCTAGATTTTTATTCAGTTTTATATGAATTCTCTCTTTTCTCTCATTTCTGTCCCGCCTAAATTATATAAACAATTTAAAGAGGTGTTATGTTAAAAACTATATGACATGATTATCAAGCATCAAAGTCACATAAATTTGCATCTCTTTTTGTTAGTCTTCAAGTTACCAACATCATTCTCATCATTACTTTCAACAGCTTAATATTCCACTATTTCCGGATTGGTGACAAACGTGTGTGATATATGTGTATGTATAAGAGCATATGAAACAACATGCCCGTTGAGACTTCATGTCCTAACCTGATATAAGGCCATCAAAAAGCTAATACAGCTTGATCCCAACACTTTAATTTGCATAAGAACATAAAAAAGCCTTCAACTTCATGTTGAGACTTAATATCCTGTGATGGCCACAAAACCTGAATTCATAGGCAATACATGTTTGATCTAGATATTTGACACAACAACGTGTCTAAAAAAGTTCTAAAAAAAAAAAAATCAAGTCAGAAATAGCAATGCTCAAATTCTTCATACTTTGAACAAACACTTGATCTTCTTCCTGTGCTCAAGTACTGAGAAAAATAAAAAAAAAATAAAAGATCATTAAAAAAACGTGAGTGGACTTGGATGGTTTGGACAGTGCAAAAAAATTATAGGAAAAATTACATATAAATGGAGTCAAAGTTCCATATTTACTTAAAGGCTGAGTCAAAGTTCCATATTTCTCTAAAATGGATTGCTGAGGTGGCACATGGTTTTTTACTGTTTAAAAATTGTGGTGCCTAAAATACCCTTTCACGAAGGTACTACTTTTTCTTCGAAGGTACTACTTTTTTGAACTGAAGGTACTACTTTTTGGCGTCCAGGTACCATGTTTTTTAAACACCCGCGAAGGTACTACTTTTTCTCCGAAGGTACTACTTTTTTTAACTGAAGGTACTACTTTTTTGCACTGAAGGTACTACTTTTTTGTTAGGGAAGGGCATTTTAGGCACCACAATTTTCTAAACAGTAAAAAACCATGTGCCACCTCAGCAATCCATTTTAGAGAAATATGAAACTTTGACTCAGCCTCTAAGTAAATATGTAACTTTGACTCCATATATATGTAATTTTCCCAAAATTATAAATAGCTCACTAGCACCTCACACTTGGGCATCTCCAGTTTGAACTCCAGCTCCGGCTCTAGGTCCTTCTCCGGCTCCCGCTCCGGTTCCGGTTCCTGGTTCCGGCTGGGTAATAGATTGCATAGACAATGATCTGCCCAATGCCAGAAGCAATGCCAACAATGCTAGAAACCTGTAGGTAACAACAATACCACCAACAATTTTGAACTTTGTGGACAATATGGAACTTGGGGGCTGTTAGAATGCTCAAGGCAGCCTTAGACTCATGTATAATAGCTCCTAGTCTCAGCTATCTATCTGACCTCATAGCCTTATCTAGACTTGGACTCATACGCTATAGTACACTTGGTCACACCGCACTTCCAATATTACTCTTCTTGTTCATACACACATAAGCCTTGGGCTCCAAGTGATATATGTCTCTATATGTCTAGTCTTTCAACACAATTCAATTCATTAATTGTGATACAGTTTTCATATCTTTATCTACTAGTTTCAAAACTAATACTAAAGTTAATGCTAATCATACCAAGATAAACCAATCCCTCTTGGGGACCAGGGCAGAAAAAATCAGCCAGACTACTGCAGTTGCGCAGCCAATCACAGGGGGAAGAATAGGCATGCCTTCAACAATCTCATCTTTTATAACATTCATCTGTTAAAGAACAATAATAATAGGGAGCAATAAAAATGAAATTAAATAAATGGAAGAAAAAAAACTAATGAAAAAGAGCAACAAGAAAAGGAAGTATACCACTGTAATAATTGGGGAGCAGTACATAATAGATGAAAATATGCAACACACGACCCCAACAAATGTGATTCTATTCTCACGGTCAAGCGCGAGGAATGCTATCAGAGAAATGATTCCAGCGAAAGTGCCTTCAATTACCAAGCACAGAATAATCTTCCTCTAGAAAATTCATTCAAAAGCATAATGAGTTAGAAATCAACCATTCCATATATAATGTCAAAGATTAATAAACACGTATAAAAATAAAAAAAAATAAAAAATTACTCACCATAAGAATATGAGTACCAAATATCAGAAAAGGAACACTGTAGAGAAGAACTAAACAGAGCCCAACTGCATTGATTATAAGTACAAGATTATTGGGCTGTACTTCTCCAGAATTGAGCGCGGTGGCCAGATAAAAATGGGGATTGTACTGTTGTAAGTTTTTCTGGTTGACAATGGAGATAACAGTGACTCTGCAAATAACTGTTTTTTAGTAACAACAACATATGCAGCCACATATATATATATATATATATATATATATATATATATATATATGTATATGCCTGCATCTTATATGTGTATCATGTAGTATCTACTTTATATATAAAGTACATACTACATGATACACATATAAGAAACAGGGAGAGTAGATACATTGGAGAAAGAAAAAGCAGTCCAGAAGTGACATTCCCTGCAATATGAATAATTGTCAAAAGTCATTATAAGTATCCTCCCACACATCAATCACTACATACTTTCCAAAAAAAAAAATCAATCACTGTATCACGATTAATGGAAAAAGAGTTGAAAAGTACCAACTCAGAAGTATATCTGTTCAAAGAACAGATCTATCATACAGTAAAAACTGAATTCAACATGTGAGCATTCATCTTCTCACGGAGAGGAGAGAGAAAGGAAGTAATGAAAGAGCAGTGACTGCTTGTTCTATGGAGCTTGCTATGAACAGGATTCAATTAAACTTGAAAGGACGCAGTCAACAGTAAAGTATTAAATGAAATTTGAAAAGACGTACAAAACAGTAAATCGATTCATAAATATTTTTTTTTACAGGCACTATCATTATCACTTCATTATATATATATATATATATATATATTCACACACACATTTATAAATAGCATTAATAGACAACATCATTGAAATTACATCAAGATTTGGTAAAATTCATATCCAACTCATGAAAATTCGTTCAACAAACAGGATTCAGATTCAATGCTCAGGAAAGGCCGTTCAAATCAAATCTTCGGCAGCTCAAATCACAAAAGTTATAAACCTAATATGAACATTGATGATGCAGAAAAACTCAAACAACAATCACGATCAACTACATACAAATACACACATCAGAGAAGGATTAAAACAGTACCAACAATGGCGATCTCGTTTTTCATTGCTCAAAGAGAGAGAAGAGTGAGTATCTACTATTTTTTGGGGGAAATACAGTTTTGGTGAAGAAATGAGCTCGCGTGCGTTGCTTTTATACAAGTTGATTTGAGGTGTGAATTCCATTTTTTAACTTTAATTTGGTGTGAGTTTGAAATTTAATTTGGTATAGTGCGCCAATTTGGAAGTTCAGTGAGCACGTTGTTTCTGTTATTGTAAACGCGATACCGTTAGGAAGCCTCTGTGAATTAAATTTTTTTAATTTTTTTTTTTTTTTTTCGCGGCCTTTCATCGTTCCCAATAGATGCGATACCGTGTGTGAACAAAACGTGAGACCGACTATTGACAAAATCCATGAAGTCCGACCCGACTGCGTCCTAAATCCATGGATTCCGGCTGGATCATATGCTTGCCCTTTGGGCCAGGAAGAGGTTTGTGAAGCTCTTAAAAGCCCCCATTTCAGTAGCTGTAGTCGCCGAAACCAAAGAGAGGGTAGTGTAGCAACAGCTTGGAACGCTAGGAGGCGGCGAGGTTCCGGTTGGTCTCTTCTGGCCGCGGCGAGGTTAAGGTTGTTCTCTTCCGTCGACGGCGAGGTTCAAGTTTGATACAAGATGCGGGAAGTAAGACTAAATTACACGAATGTCCAATTTTTTTTTATGAGGTAGCGGACTTTATTGGGGTTATTTTTGTCTTGAACAAAGTTTGCTCTCAATCTTTTTGCCCTGTATATTTGTGTGTGAATATATATATCTATATTATTATTAAATTTGTAAAGTGTTTTATTGTTTCATATTTTTGTATTTTAATATTTATTTATTAATTAATATAAATTTTATAACATTTAAAATTACTTAATAAAATTAAAATTAATTCAAATTAACAAAATATAAAAAGAGTTTTATTCAAATTACAAAGTCCAACATTGATTTTAAGTAAAAAAGATTAATGAAAGCCTCTTATAAAACTATAGAGTTAAAGAAATAATAATTACACCTTCTCGGCCTTTTAACTAAGATCAAGTGTAATACTAAATATTTTTGGGTCGGCCTTTTGGCTAATTTTTCTTGGTCTTTTGGCTAAGATCAAGCGTAGTACTACTTTCTCGGCCTTTGTGCAAAGAGTTTCAGTATTTATTTATTAATTGATATAAATTCAAATTAACAAAATATAAAAAGAGTTTAATTCACAATAAAGAGCTCTCATTAATTATTATATCCTACGATATAAATTCTATAAAACTCAAAATTACCTAATAAAATTAAAATTCAATCTATAATCAATTGCGCTTAACCAAATGGTCCATAAATTAACTTATTTATCTATTTATTATTATAAATTTTTTAATAAAAGAAAATCTAATTAGACAAGAATTGTGAATATAAAAATATTTATTAATTGATATATAAAACAAAATAATTTTTCTAAAACTCTACCATATAAATTAGCCTTTATAATGAGTTTCTTAGTAAAATTAAATCTAATTAGACAAGGATATATTTAAAAGTAAATTTAATTAGACAAGAATAAAAGTAAATTTAATTAGACAAGAATTATTAAAATAAAAAATATTTATTAATTGAAAATTACCTAATAAAATCATGCAAAGTGTTTCAGTATTTATTTATTTATATAAAAAAATATTTATTAATTGATATAAAAATAATTTTTGTAAAAATAGTTTCTATAAGATTCTAAAAATTACCTAATAAAATCAATCACATTCTATATAAAACTCTAATTTTTAGTTCAATATAAAAAGAATATTTATTTTTTATGGATAATTATCACAATATAACCTAAATTATATTATATGTAATTATAATAAATTCAGTATTTAAGTACAAATATATTAATCCTATTAATCCAAGAAGTCTATAAATAGAGTCATGGAAGACAAAAGAAAGGGTACAGAAATTCAGAATTCTAGAAATTCAAAATTTCAGAGTAAAATATAGAAATTCTGCCAAAGAGTTTCAGTATTTATTTATTTATATAAAAAAATATTTATTAATTGATATAATACTATTATTAGATGTGCAAAGGGTTTCAGTATTTAAGTACAAATTACCTATTTATCTATTTATTATGAATTTTTTTAATAAAAGTAAATTTAATTAGACAACAATTATTAAAATAAAAAATATTTATTAATTAAAAATTACCTAATAAAATCGTGCAAAGTGTTTCTGTATTTCAGTATTCTTTTATTTATATAAAAAAATATTTATTAATTGATATAAAAATAGTTTTTGTAAAAATAATAATTTCTCATGCTTTAGTTTTGGAAAATGATTGTTGTAGTGAAAAACAATCAACCAAAATAAGAGACCAAATAGTTGGTAGTCATTTGAGGCATTTATGTAGGACTCATTTGGTGTCCCTCCCTAATGCATTAAATGGCTATCAAATTATTCGGTATGCTTATTGGAATGACTGTGAGTCTGTGACTCTAAAAATAGCGTGATTCTTTTGTTTTAGTTCTGAAATATAGATAATTCTTGCTGCTTCACAAAAGTCAAGTGAATAAAAAAATAAAAAATAAACTTTAAGGATTTAAAATAAAATTAATAAATAAAATCATTGAGGATTTAAAAAAAAAAAAAAAAAAACTTAGAGGATTTTAACAATGACTACTCATTATAAGATGACATAGAACCCTGCAATATTCATAATAACTTGAACTCATAATTCATGGTGTTTTATTATTCAACACGCTCTTAGGCATTGATTTGTTTTGCAAATTTAGATATTTGGTAACTTTGAACACCAATAGCAATTGAGTATTGCTTGATTTATTTATTTATTTTTTTGTAACAAATAATCAATCGCCACAGTTCACGAACTGGTAGTTCACAATAAGGTGGCCCTGGGGCATATCCTCTTCCATCTGTGTCTAGAAATCTAGAATTCCATAGTAAAATACGGAAACTCTGCCAAAGAGTTTCAATATTTCAGTATTTATTTATTTATATATAAAAATATTTATTAATTGATATAAAAAGAGCTTTTATCTATACTATTATTAGATGTGCAAAGAGTTTCAGTATTTAAGTATTTATTTATTTATATAAAAAATATATATTTAAAACACTAAAATCTACATAATAAAATTTAAATTAATCTATTTATCTATTTATTATTATGAATTTTTTAATAAAAGAAAATCTAATTAGACAATAATTACTAATATAAAAAATATTTATTAATTGATATGTAAAACAAAATTATTTTTCTAAAACTCAACCACAAAATTAGCTTTTATTATGAGTTTCTTAATAAAATTAAATCTAATTACACAAGGATATATTTAAAGAAAATAAAATAATTTCTATAAAATCCCATCACAAATTACCTATTTTATTTTTAATAAAACTCTATCACATTACACAAAGATATATTTAAAGAGTTTCTATAAAACTCTAACAAAAATTACTTATTTATCTATTTATTATGAGTTTTTTTAATAAAAAGAAATCTAATTAGACAAATATTATTAATATAAAAATTATTTTTTAATTGATATAAAAAGAGGTTTTAAAAGAGATATTATAAAACTCTAACACAAATTACTTATTTATCTATTTATTATGAGTTTTTTTTATTAAAAGTAAATCCAATTAGACAAGAATTATTAAACTTAAAAATATGTATTAATTAAAAATTACTTAATAAAATAATGCAACGTGTTTCAGTATTTCAGTATTTATTTATTTATATAAAAATAATATTTAATAATTGATATAAAAATAGTTTTTGTAAAAATAGTTTTTATAAAATTCTAAAAATTACTTAATAAAATCAATCACATTCTATATACAACTCTTATTTTTAGTTCAATATAAAAAGAATACTTATTTTTTATAAATAATTATCATAATATAACTGGCCCGGTCAAGTTATGATTATGTAATTATCAGAAAAAGACACATGTCATCATCCTACTAATCTACGAAGCCTATAAATAGAGGCATGAAGGAAGGAGGAAGGGGTATAGAAATTGAAAATTCTAAAAATCCAGAATTTTAGAATAAAATACAAGAACTTTGCCAAAGAATTTCAGTATTTATTTATTTATATAAAAAAATATTTATTAATTGATATAAAAAGTGTTTTTATCTATACTATTATTAGATGTGCAAAGAGTTTCAGTATTTAAGTATTTATTTATTTATATATATAATATTTAAAAAACTAAAATCTAAATAATAAAATTTAAACTAACCTATTTATCTATTTATTATTATGAATTTTTTAATAAAAAAATCTAAATAGACAATAATTATTAATATAAAAAAATATTTATTAATTGATATATAAAACAAAATAATTTTTCTAAAACTCTACCACAAATTAGCTTTTATTATGAGTTTGTTAATAAAATTAAATCTAATTAGACAAGGATATATTTAAAGAAAACAAAATAATTTCCATAAAACTCAATCACAAATTACCTATTTTATTTTCAATATAACTCTATCACACTAGACAAAGAATATTTAAAGAGTTTATGTAAAACTCTAACACAAATTATCTATTTATTATGAGTTTTTTAATAAAAGGAAATCTAATTAGACAAGTATTGTTAATATTAAAAATTATTTATTAATTGATATAAAAAAAAAAACTCATAATAAATAGATAAATAGGTAATTTTAAGAGTTTTTATCTATACTATTATTAGATGTGCAAGGAGTTTCAGTATTTATTTATTTATATAAAAAATATATAAATACTAAAATCTACATAATAAAGAGTTTCTATAAAAGTCTAACACAAATTACCTATTTATCTATTTATTTTGAGTTTTTTAATAAAAGAAAATCTGATTAGACAAGTATTACTAATATAATAAATTATTTATTAATTGATATCAAAAGAGGTCCAAAAGAGTTTCTATAAAAAACTCTAACACAAATTACCAATTTATTACAATAAAAATATTTATTAATTGATATAAAAAGAATTTTTAAAAGAGTTTATATTAAACTCTAACACAAATTACCTATTTATTTATTTATTATAAGTTTTTTGATAAAATAAATTCTAATTAGACAAGAATTATTAATATAAAAAAAAAAATTAATTGATATAAAAAATAAAATAATTTTTCTAAAACTCTATTACAAACTACTTTTTATTATGAGTTTTTTTTTTTTTTTTTTTTATAATAAAAACTAATCTAATTTGACAAGAATTATTAAATTTTAAAAATATTTATTAATTGATATAAAAAAAGTTTTTAACAGAGTTTCTATTAAACTCTAATACAAATTAGTTATTTATTTATTTATTATAAGTTTTTTAATAAAAGAAAATCTAATTAGACTAGAAAAACTCTATCACAAATTACCTATTTTATTTTCAATAAAATTATAATACATTAGACAAAGATATATTTTAAGATTTTATATAAAAACTCTAACACAAATTACTTATTTATTTATTTATTGAAATCTAATTAGACAAGAATTATTAATATAAAAAAATATTTATAAATTGATATAAAAAGCGTTTTTAAAAGAGTTTCTATAAAATTCTAACACATATTACCTATTTATCTATTTATTATGAGTTTTTTTAATAAAAAAAATATAATTAAACAATAATATATTTAATGAAAATAAAATAATTTTTATAAAATCTACCACAAATTGACTGTTTTATTTTTTATAAAACTCTATCACATTATTTACAAAATATTCAACACGTGCATCGTACATGCCTTTTCCTAATATATATATATATATATTAACTTGAGCGCGGTAGACTTCATTACATTTGTGTAATAGTAGTAATAATATGATTGTGGTGTCATTTTAAAATTGACTCGAAGTTTGCGCACTTTTATTGTCAAATGTTGAAATTAGAACTTGACCCGTGATTCGTTTTTGGTTATAGATATATGTATTTTTACAAATAAATTGTCCAAGGCTAATTATTGTAGGTGTTTCTTTTATTTTTGGTTGAGAATTATTTTTATTATTATTTTAATAGCTCTTATTAGTTCGTGTAGATATTGTATTTTTGCATATAAACATTAAGAAGAAGGTTTACAAAAATCGTGACCCTTCGGGACAGCAAGGACGGTGAAAGGGCGCTAAATTTTGATTTTGGGACGCATACGGAAACCAAGAAGGTTCGCTATAAATCCATAAAGCAGAGAGAAAAAATGCAACAAATCCACCTTATTAAGAATGTCATTTGTCTGAATATAGTATTTCAGTCAACAAACACATTTATTTATTTATTATTATTATTATTTTTATTTTGAAATTAAAGCTTCGAACGTATTCCGATAGTGCTTCCAGCCGATAGACGAAATTAACAAAGGAGAAACGCTTCATACTTTAGTTGACACACAAGCACACGAAATGGCAACTAACAATTGATTGGAATGGGAATCAGAACCTGGACTAGTATCAGAAGCACACTAATTAGGCCCTTTTAAATAATGCTTTTGATTAGTGTTACAAGAAATATGTTTGGTAATGTTTGTTGTCATTTAAATAGTATCGAAGCACTTTTAAAATTAAGGTCAACATCGAAAGCATCAAAATGATGTTTTTGTTTACTTTCGCAATATAACAAAACACTGTTCATATCATTCAAATTTTTAAATTTATAACACTTTTTACCAAACATGCTTTCATATTTTTGTTTCTAAAAATTATAACAAATTTACTTTACCAGATAAGTTTTGAAATAGTGTTGAACACACTTTAAAGCAAAAATATTGTTTTTATTTCAGATCAAAGTAGAAGCACAAAACAATTGTAGTTGCCAAACAACTTTGATAAAATGATTATTGTGTAGCGCATGAAGGACAAAATAAATTAGATATTGCTTCCTTGGCATTCGAACTGTCTGTACGGTTCCAAGAATTGAGAGATAAAAAAATAAAAAAATAAAAAAAAAAGAGTAAAACTCTAACAACAGACACCAATGTCAATTATTGAATGAGATGGAATATAAATACTAAAAGCCTAAAACAATTGAAAACATGAAATGTACAACAGTTCGGAATTGAATTGCCAATTGTAAGGTTCCTTCTGCAACTCCTCAAACAGGACCCAAAAAATGGGTACCATTTACAAAACCAATTTTGTAATTTTCTTTTCCTCTTCTAGGTCACATAGAATTGTTAAAATTTCAAAGACAGCCGTATCAAAAAAATTATATAATAGAAAATCTCAATAACCAAGATTATCAGTCTCCCTTTTCATATTAACTGCAATAGACATGATAAAAAAACACATGTGATACATCAATCAAATACATTTTAATTAGTCAATCAACGATGAATTTTGGCAGTTAAATAACAGAGCTTACTTCAACGATTGAAGCTCATTGCCTGCCAGTAATAAATTGGAAGTGAAAGATCTGCAAGCACTTTTACTTCCTCCTGTTTCTTTCTCATTCATGGAAGAAAATACCGGGAATGTATCTGAGCAGACCAGGCATGGTATCAAGGGGAAGTGGCTTGTCACCTCTAAGACCCAGGATGGAGTTTTCATATGGCGACTGCTTCATTTTCAGGGCATCTTTCAAGCATGTATAGCAACGTGCCATACATTCATTCTACCATCCACGCAAGAAAGTTCGATCCCAAACGTGCGGTAGAGAAAATTGCGAAAGTATACAAGGCAGGGAGAAGGAATATGGGAACTGTACGAGCACCAGGCCGTGCAAAACAATAACTTGGCATAAGTAAATCCCAGTTGAAGAATGAAAACAGAATTGTTACAGCCACTGAATCATCATCTCCTGGAGAACACGAGCTAAAATAGCCAAGACTATGATTTCAATGGTCCATCAAGGCAGTTTCAGTTTCCGACAATGGTGCTGCAAGAAAATGAAACGGAATTAAAAAAAAAAAATGCAATTAAAAAAAAAAAAAGTTAGCTGATGGTACCTTTCAGCCAACTGTGTATCAATCAAAGTAGGACAAAAAGAAGCATTCTATCACCCCGCACCCCGGTGGGGGGGAACACAAACAAAATACTAAGTGCATTCTCTCTTTCTCTCTCTCTCTCTTTCTCTTGGATCCTCTTTTTCTTTTTCTTTTTCTTTCACTGGGGAGAATGGCAACTCACTAGAGTAAAGATGTAATGGGTACTTGATTCACTGCGATTAAAAATCTGTAATAGTGCATGTACACCACAGGAAAATAGATTGTGAAAACGCGAACATACCAAGCAAGTCCTCGTAAGAATCTGCCAAGAGTGAAGTATCCGTCAGCAAGGGAGGTGAGAAAACTTGATCCCGAGCTTCCTCCGTGTCATAAAATGAACTGTGTGCATCAGAAACTGCACTATCTGAACCAAAAGCTGAGAGAGAACCATTTACTTGATCATAGTCATGACGTGAACCCAAATCATTTAAGACGTTTGATACTTCATCATACTTGCTCCCAACATGACCACCTGCAGCACGATTGTCAGGCAAGGAAGGGTCCACTCGAGAAACGAACAACCGTTTACTCCTTGCTGCCAGTTTCTTTTCTGGCCCAAGACGAGAAAACCCATTTGCAGAAAGTGGAACAAAGAAGTGATCAGAGCTGTCATCAGAGTGACTGTCTTCAGATGATTCCAAGTTGCAGGATTGCATTGACAGAGCCGCTTCTCTAACAGATCTCTTTAAGTTCTGGACATAAGAATTGTCATTTTCTGTGGAAGCATTGAAAAACAAAATAAAAAATTAGAACTCCTAGAATACTCCCCCAGACTGAAACACAAAACAACTTAAACAAGCCCATGGGTTGCACATTCAGAAAGCCAAAATGGACGAAGTAGAATACTGCACACCTTGTGGATTATCCATGTGGTTGTTTGACATGGGCTGGTCCAGCGACTCTCTCTCTAACATATTTTCTATTTGGTTGGCCTGAGTTAACATGTGTCGCTTTTGCATGCTCCCACCTTTCCCAGAAGAATTTGGTGTCAAACTAAATAAAGGAGGGAGTTTTAAGGCAGGAGGACTGGCTGAAATTTTCTCAAGCTGAACATTAGACATTCTCGAAGTTACATCTGCAACCTCATCAGTGCTACTTTCCTGTACAATTCAAGATCATTAAGTTCAGTAGATAAAATTAAGGCTGGACAAATCATAGGAGTAATATTTTCAACAAAGTATGTAATTCACATTATAATTACCAAAGTCCTCCCACTGCTCTGTGCTTGGATAGGTGAGATCAATCTGCCATCATGATTGTTAATTGGAGGAAGATTGGACGAAAAGCTGTTTGCTTCCTCTGTAAGCTCCGATATTGAATTTTGTATTGCTGGTGCAACTTCTTTCAGTTGATTGATGAGAACCTGCATATAACAATGTCCGTATGAGGAAAATCTTCAACATAGGAAAAGTAACTTGGCAACTAATCCAGTTCTGCAGCACCCCAAAAAAATGCTATTTTGCCAACGATAAGGTAGTTAATTAACTCAAAAGAGAGAATGGGTTGGCACTTTGTCATTTCATTTAGCAAATAATGAGAAATTTGTAGAGGACATAAAAGGAAGGACTAGTCTGATCATTCACCAGAAAAGAGAGTTTAATTTGCATAAAGAGATTCGGAAAGTCTAGATGTTACCAAAGACCTGTATCCAGTGAATAATGCTGTGATTGGTAATCTCAACTCAACAAAAGGTAGTTCCAAAAGTTCAAGCCCAACTACATAAATCCTGATTCACCATTCTGCTTATCTACATTATGGATATAACATATGAACGAGTAAGAATCAAAATTATTTTATTACAACCTGAAATCACATTCAGTATAGCCCCCCTATAATCTTTGCAGCACTATCAACATTAACCATATTGCTCCACTTACTCATTCTGTCATTACTCTCTGTTACATCTAACCCATCTTAGAAGACTTGGTCGCAAAATGAAAAACTACCTCTAACTCGACACAAGCGTTTATCTGCAAATCCATTGTTCATGGTTTTTTCAAATATCCATCTCAACATCCTCATCTTAACTAAAATCCTCATTAACAAATAAATTTATTAGTAGCACAAAGTTTGATAACATTAAGAATGATGGCAAAAGGAGCTATCTTATTTTTCAAAAAGCATCTGTCAATTACAATACACTGTAGTACCACTTCCCCAATACACTTGACTCACTACTAGTTTTGTGGGCCCCACCAAATTTCAATTACCCTCCTAATGGCCAATCAGCTAAGATTAACTAACTGGGTACCTCTAGCCCATCAATTTCCACTATTCCCTCATTTCTACCTTGAAAATAAAGTAAGTACATTCAATATTCTCTTACTCCCAATTATGCCAAAACTCAACCATTTCAATAGTAATATATGCTTGGTTAAGTGCATTCAAAATCTCTTTGGATCCAAAAATAGGTTTTGTCCAAATTCCTTTGTAAAGGTATTTAGCACAATCAGAGACTGGAATTTGACTTCTTAACATCCCCCACTCATTGTGAGCAACTTATAAAATTTATTCAAAATTACTTCGGATGGAGCGCACAACTAATACAAATCATGCAGTTTCTCGTTCCATTTCAGAGTAGCAGTTGATTTAAAAAGTTCATGATTTGTATAGTACACGACATAGGATGCATCTACCTCAAAATATTTAGAGATTCTTAAATATGAATATCATAAACAATGACTCATTCCACTTGCCAAAAAACAAAAAACTAAAAGAATGTAGGCAAATGCCCAAGATTGTATCAAGTGTTAATCCAACATAAAAAAGAAACAGAAAATTAATAATGTCAGAAGCTAAGCCTTTTGAACTAGAAAATCAGAGGCATCATTCATTTACCTGTATGCTAGCTAGGTGTTGCTGATGTTCGGCAAGAGTGGCTTCTAATGACTCAGCATGGCCACTTGTACCACCTTCCTGTGCACTTCGTAGAAGGTCTGGACCCTCTCCATCATTGGCTTTTGCCTACAACACAATTGTTGCAAAAATAACATGTTACTGCCAGGGAGATGATAAACACATTGTTATATCCCAGAGAAGAATACGGAGAGAAATAAACAACAGAATAATTGGAAAATCATAAGAGATCTCAATTTTACTGTCATACAGTTTTTTTTTTTTGCCACCTGATTGTTAGATAGTTCTAGAGTATTACAAGAGTTTCAGTTAAGAGATATATAAGGTGTTAGGTTTATAGACAGATTTGTGATATTATTCAGGAAAAAAAAAGATTTGTGATATTGTGAATAACATATGATGGCTCTTTACAAGAAACCCATAATAGTAAGACAACCTAACTGTGATGTTGTGGCCCAAATTTGGTGCCGGGTCACGTTGTGACCTGTTGTTGGTTCGGGGCAGCACCCCCGAGGAAAAGTTTTGACCGGTTTTTTGCTTTCAGGTCATGGACCCTATTTAGTACTCTCATGTAGCCAGATATATAAGGGAGTTTAGGGTTTGGAGTGGCACATTGAGAGACACTGAAAATCACAGAGAAGAAAGTGAGAGCGAGAGCTAGGGTCTTATAATCTCCAGATTTTTGCATAGTGAATTCTTTCGCCGGATCTTCACCGTGGACGTAGGCTTTGCCGAACCACGTAAATCTTTATGTTCTCTGTGTGTGGCATGTTTATTTTCTGTCATGTTTTGTGATTGCTTCTTTGTTCGCTGCGTTTGTTGTAACACTAACTTATAAGTTTTCATTTGGAATAAAAACTACCAATGGTGCTCACTGCTCTTTAACAATTCATAAAAAATAAAAAGAAAAAAGAAAAAAAAAATGCTTCACTGGAAAATCAAGGTCAGTTGAAAGGACAAAAACAAGAAGATTGTTCAATAGAAAATTTTAACCCATCTGGCTGGGATTAGGAGCTTTTTCTTGATACAATTAAGTGACAGTACACATTAGGATATCACAATAACAACAAGTGCTCTCTTACGACAACTATTTACATTCTGCACAATTGCCATCTAATTTGTAAGCAATGAGATTATTGGTAAGTAATATTCAGTTTCAACGGAAAACAATCAAGCTGAATATAAATGACAACCTAGGTCTAGAATAATCAGATAATAAGAAAAGAAACTACTCCAATACTGTTCAAAATCCAACATTGGGATTACACCAGTGCACAAACAACTAGTAATTGTCACTAAGTTGTCTAAATTTTTTTTTTCTTTCCCCGATAATTGCTAAGCTGTCTACATTACATTCTAAGAAATTCAAAAAATTGTCAAATTTTTTAAAAGCCACAGAATTGAGCAATATTGAGTTTTCCTGATAGGAGGCCATGTATAACAAAAAAGAGGCAGCAATGCATCAAGAATGAATTGTCCTACAAAAGCAATTGACAAATAACCTAGTTCCATAGAAGAAAAGATTACCAGATGAAGTGAATGTTTATGAATACGTTGCAATGCATGTGTCCAACGCCTGAGGATTTCTGCTATATCAACAGTGGGGTGAACTCTTCCACTTCTATAATCCACTCGGGTGATTTCATCATTGACTTGTAGAGAAGAAAACTCTAAATAATTCTTATTCTTTTCTCTATTTACATTAACAAATGATCCATCGATCTGTCCTTTGTCATCTAAATGCACTGAAGCTAGATTGCCAGATTGGACAGGTAATATATCTGTATAACGGGACTGAGAACTTTGATCCATAGCTGCAAGCAAAGATGATCCAGAGATGCGGTACCTGAATAAGTAATATTCTACACGTCAACAAGCATCTGGTTAAAAGCCATCTGCAAAAACCCAGAATGACAGGAAGTTACCTATGCTCCCGATGAGCTATCAGGTCCTCAATAGGCCCTGAAGCAAGAACTTCATGCTGACCTGCACATAATAGTATATCAAGATGAACAGAGTACCATGGAAATAAGAGAAGTTAGCATCAAATTGATGGAACATTATCACAATGATAATTCATCCTAGTAGTAAACTAACAATTACGTTTAGCAAAGGAAAACATACTTCCGTTCTTGGATTACAGGCAATACACAGGTAGAATACGAATGCTAGACTAATATGAGAAAAGTTTACAGACGGGAAGGAGAAGAAGCATCCTGATTTGGAAACAACTATCCCAAGGCAAGTAAGTGAAGCATGAAGAGACACACTCACTCAACAAAAATAAATAAATAAATAAACAAAAGTAATAATTACAAAACCTTGACAGTCGTAAAAGATAATTCACAGAGCAGGTATAGGTACAGAAAGTGAAAATGTCTTATGTACTGAGGTTTACTTGTCTTCTGGTCCACAGCAATTCTTGCACTATCATATCAAATTATTAGATATAAAAATTAATAAAAATATACTCAGCATGAGAAAAATATTCTCTGATTCTTTTTTTTTTTTTTTTTTCATAAATCAAGTACACCAAGTTCCCAAAGGCAGTATGGAAATATAGAGAGAGAGGCAGGCAAGGAGGGAAGCAATGATACAATTGTCCTTTGGCATTAATAACAGATCAGATTCTGCAGGGTGATACGGGATCACAAAGTCTTAGAACAATAATTACTCAATAAAATATAGGTAGACCCATAAGTTAATGGAGTCTCTTCCTGCTTTCATTTTTTTTCTCTTCCTCTATACGAATCTCTTCACTCCACAAGCTACATTTTAAAATAAAATCGACTACCTATAAGGCTGTAACTTATTTCCACGTGTACTACACATTAAAATAGACACAGGCAAACAACTCGGGCATGAACAAACAAAACAAGCCCAATCTTCTCTAGCCTAAAAGGACAGCTACGCATGTTTACTTTTATTATTTTTATTTTACCCACAATTGATCGTAATATGCAACTTCATTTCAAAAACATAAATAAATAAATAAAAAGAAAAGCTGAAAGATAGATCAGAAGTTCTTTCAGTGCACATGTGATCCATTTGTAACAAAGTTCTTAAAGAAAGCAAATGAGCAAAGACACTAATAATCTGCCTCCGCCATTGTAAATATGAGAGGATTATTAAGCATGAAAAGGGTTTACATGGTGTGTTTCGAATATTAGAGGAAAAAGAAATCCTATTGCTGAAGGCATACAATTTTAGGGCTGGAAAATTCATCATTCCAAACTTGCTGAAACTTTATACGTGATACTGATGGACTGGTTTATGAAAGTAAATTCCTTATCTTATAAAATTAAGGTCACAAAATATAATAAAATTCTGTAAAGAACAATAAGATGTGTATACTTACTTCTACGAGCTAATAAAGAGTCCCACAAGCGAGTTGCTCGTTGAACTAAATGAGAATTCTGATTTGAGCTAGATACAAATTCATCCCACAGGTCCCCTTCCAACTTCACTTTGTTCCTCAAGTCGTGTAACTTTTCCAACTCTTGCTGCAAATAAGCCTGAGATCCAGGAATACCAAGAGTAAAGGATAAGGAAAACTAAAAGCCCCTCCAAAGAAGATATCCAATCAATGTAAGGCCCTCAAAGTAATGTGATTAAGTGAACCTGCTACCTCTTCAGCACAAAGACCGCGAAACTCTGCAGTCATTTCATGAGCCAAACTTGACCAAATAGCCTGTCTATTGACTGCAGTCTCCGCATTTTTCAAAAACTTCCTCCGTTCAAGTGCTATTCTAGCCTGCTTACCATTGGAGATTTAAGTCAGAAGCACTGAAAGTTGAGTAAAAATGGTTCAAAAATGATGCTAAATGGGAAGTTATGAACATATTTTCCATACATAAATGTATATAGCACTATGCAAGACAAAACAAAAATTATACAATTTTTTCCTCAAACACTTACTGAGCAGTATACTGTAAAGTGCAAACTTTCTTCTAGTTTCACGAACCAATTCATTCCAATTATGGCCCAAGGTAACCAAACCTCAACTTTGGATCAACATTAGCTTCCAAACAAATCGCAGTATATCAAAATAAGTCCCCAAAGCATTCACTACCTATGTAGTTGACTAGTGAGTAAGAGACTTAAAGCCTATCCATGCAAACACATTGTGTTCTCTTCTAGGAGTAAAGTTCTTATGACACAGAGACAAGGCATGAAGGGAACTACTACAGTTAATTGTTGTCATCTCACTCAAACTTTTAAAATATGACATCAATTGCAAAAGGCAAAACAAATTGCTTGAAAATAGTTCTTCAATAGGTGAAAACTAATTGAAAGGGACACTTAAAGAACAGTCCCAATTTCACATTTATTTAGCACATGTTAAACACCTCCTATCCATGTCAATCACCAGCACTACATGAATTACCAATATTTCATCCAATTTCAGTTTCTGTAAAAGTCAAGGTGTCAGACAACTCAAATTCTTGACAAACAATGAAGCCAATGCCACGTCCTTGTAACATAGGTGAAAAGAGGTTAAATATCAGAATGACCTTTGTTACAGGAAGTAGTGTAGCAGCATGTGAGAAAGCTACATCTGTCAATGAAGCAGGCAGCGGGTTAGAAGCCACATCAGCTACAAACATTCGTCTATGAACTTCTCGCAAAGCATGCAAAGAAAGTTGCCACAACAGTTCAACAAATCTGCAGTTCACATATGAAGCTTATTATTGTCATCAAGTATGTCTGCAACAGCCATCACATAATGCATGCTGAGGGAGTTACTTTAAGTTGCGTCCAGAAGGATTTCGATGAAACCTACTTATCAATATATATGTGTGTGTGTGTGTGTGTGTGTGAACAAAATCTAACTATAAAAACACACAAAAATAAAACTGCAGCAATGTTTTGCGCGTGCATGACAGTGGCAGAATTAAGTTGCAAATGCAAATAACCAGGGATCAATTCTGCAAGCTTTTACTTGCAACAGAAATAAGAACAGTTTCAAAGACAAAATTTTCACAGGCCAATATATCCTAAAATACTCAACAGTCATTAGATAATTTGTGCCACTGTCTTGTGACTTCAAGTGTTTGTGAAAGAAAAGAAAATTAATAAACAATAAATAATATAAAAATGTCCTTTACTGAAGGACAGAAGTTCAGCTAATGTCTTAAACTGTCACTTTACAGGGTATCGATTCTATATACATTGTTAAATAAAGCAATTAAAGCATATATGAGCATACCTCTTCTGGTTGTTACTATGGTACATATTTAGCCAGTAGTTACTATGGTACTATGGAACAATCCTGTCTGCAACTATACCTAATTTGATAAATGCAATCTTTTTTAGTGAGAGAGAAAGAAAGAGAAGCTGAATCTTTAAGTCCAGAATACAAATGGATGAGACAAATGTATAAACCCGTAAATGTCTTGCAAACCACAATAAAGGTTGGTCATTTTACAGTTCAAACACGGGAAAAAATAACTAATAGAAATCACACCAGTAAACTGCCCTATTTCTTAGTCAAATGTAAGTTATGTAACTATCAAGTGATCCATAAGATACACTCTCTCACATATGTAATCTCTAAGGGATCTTAAATAGCCAACATGTCAGTCAGTCAAACATGGACCCCAAATACAATTATGGGCAGACCTAACAAGGCACAATCAACTTTCTTAAGAGCTAACACCAGGTATGTCAACATGTCAGTCAGTCAAACATGGACCCCAAATACAATTATGGGCAGACCTAACAAGGCACAATCAACTTTCTTAAGAGCTAACACCAGGTATGTCAACATGTCAGTCAGTCAAACATGGACCCCAAATACAATTATGGGCATACCTAACAAGGCATAATCAACTTTCCTAAGAGCTAACACCAGGTATGTCCACATGATGGCCTATCTCTGATGGTTGCTTCCTTGTTAATCCAAGCCATCCTAAATCAATTACAGGGACTTCAATCCAATAGTCTCTTACTCTCTTTTACCCTTTGGCAGATGTTTCTTCTGGTTTATTTCACTTCATTTCTTTTCATGGGAAGAATTTAAATATTCTCTCTCATCCTAATGGCTAATGGAGAATCCATAGCACAATGTAACAACAATAAAATGAATACATTTGACACATATTCTGCTTCCTTAAAGCGTTTGTCATGTTAACATAACTACACTCTGTAAGTAATCAAACGGCAAAAAATCACTTTCATTAATTTCTAGGTGAAGCACATCCAACTAAGAGGAGGGAAACCAACAATAGTTTGTTGAAACATCACATTCACTTCACTAGTAACATGTGGTCCACATTTCCCATTTAACACAGCCCAAAATTAATCAAGTCAACAATATAGCTCCCTGAAAAGAACCCTTAATGCTGATATACAAGTAACAAAATCTAATACAACTCAAAGAAACACGAACAGCTCATACTGATACTAGTTCAAAAAAATAGTTTTAAATTATTAAGAGGAAACAAAAGCACTCAGACTAGATCAGAACCAAATCAAGCATAAACAAAACCTATTTCACCATCCAACCTTGGTCCACAACATGTGGCAAGCGAAGAAACCCTTGAATTGCTCCTTGGTAGCGCCCCCTGTGATTCGAGCTCACTTATAATACCTTGAACCACCTAATTAAAAAAAAAAAAAAAAACGACATTACATCGAGCAACGAAAACAGTTTATTGATCAACAGACTAAATATCTACATACAATAATTTAATTTGATAAGAATAACGTTAAATTACCTTCCGAAAGTCACGTGATTGCGCAGAATCAAAAATTGGCCAAACCTTATCGAAATCCTGAAAATTCACTATGTTATAAAAAAAATAAAAATAAAAACACACACAACCGATCGGAATGTAATGAAAGTTAATCAAAATCAAAATATGTATAGACATTTACATCTACATATATATATATATATATATATATGTCTAGAGTGAACAAGAGGGAAAGAGAGAGTACTTTTGCGGATTGAATTGGCCCTCTTAGAGAAGATAAGATGAAGTACAGAAGCTGTTCGCCCAATTTAGGGTTTGAATGGCGGAAGAGTCCGACCCGAGGGGTACCGTTGTTGGCTCCTACACCGATGATCGACGGATCGAGCCCTAATAACAAACAGTTAGTGTACATTGCACTCTCGAGCTCAATCTCTCTCTCCTTCTCTCTGTCCATCGTCATCCCCGTCTATTCTCTCTGTCTAGATTTCCTATTTTGCTTCTCTTTCTATATATATATATATATCTATATTTTGCTTCCACTCTCGTCGTTCTCTGTGTTTCTGGTTGGTTTCTGATTTTAATTTGCTTCAAATGTTTTGTTTAACTTTTTAACAGAATTCTCTACAAAATAACTTAATTCCAAAAAGACGCTGAAATTTGAGGACAAATGGAAATTTTCAAAATTTACAAGGCCTTTCTTTTAAATTTTGGCTTTTCTAGAGAGGGACCAGCGGAGAGTTAAAAGTTAAAGTCACGCTTCAGAATTTGAAATATGAAGAGAGGGAGTGCCTATAACGTGCGCGGGCGAACTCGTAGCCTTATTATGGAGCATTAATTAATGAGTAGTGGTACATTGGTACATTGGTACATAGAATTAAAATTTAAAATTATATATATTAAATTTAGGTTCATTTGTTTAGGCATAAAATATTTGTTAAAAAATAAAAAAATATTTTTTTATTTCGTAGTGTTCAATTGTTGTAAAATGTTTATGAAAAAAAAAATTTGAATTTAACAAAAATAATATATTCATCAATTTTCGACAAGTTGTTTTATATGCCCATCGAATGGACTCACCCCAATCTCTAGTACTTTATGTAAACTTTTGTCAAATATCGATAAAATAAAAATAAATGAATATTTTACCTGAAAAATAAAAATATATTCTAAAAAAAATATTTTATATCGAAACAAATGGAGCTTTAACGTTAATTAAAAAATTGAGATTGTATATTGAATTTAACATGTCGATAATTAAAAAGACATAAAGGTCTCTTTTTTAATACATATTATATCTTATTGAGTTACACATTTGTGTTTTTTATTTTAACAAACTAAATAAATTGACAATTAAACAATTACACTTTTTTATTTCTCTATCTATAATTTGTTTTTCTCCATTAATATTTTTCATTATATATATAATATATATATATATATATATATATATATATATATATATATATATATATATTCTTTTCTTCACTCTCTGTATATATGTATATATTTGGATATCTCTTTAAAACTTAACCTTGATCATAAAATACCAAATCAAAATTTAATTATAAAAAACTTTAACTGAATTATGTAAATTAAGGTTCTTATTTACGAGAAAGAGATCGTTCATTCATTGTAAAAAAATTTAGCTTATAGTTTTAATTATTTGAAGATTTAATAGAAAAGGGTCTCCCAAACGAATATATATGGGCATAATTGAATTATTGAATTAAATTAGGGTTTGGATTATATAATAATAAGTATTACTATTTTTATTATTATATTAAAACACACAAATCAGCTAAATAAGCTGACAAATAAGCAGCCAACTAATTCGATATAGAAGTATAGCATTTTCCTTATTTAATTATTGATCCAAATTCAATAAAAATTTGAGTTTTTAATTAGAATAAAAATTAAATATTTAATTTAATAATTAATTAGTAATTCAAATCTATAATTCCTTAATTAATGCTCTGTTTGGCAGAAAAGATGAAAATTAAATGAAAGAGAGACAGGAAGAGATGAATGAAATATTCGGGAAGATCATGTAATTCCCTCTTTCAGTTTGGTTTGATGAAAGAGAAAATAATAAAATAATATATTATTTTGTTTAGTACTACGTATGAGATAAGAGAAAGAGTGTGTTAATTATAAAGATAATTTTTTAATTTAATTTTTTTAATAATAGCCTTACCTTTTTTCTTTTCCTTTCGTCAATAATTAGAAATATTAAAATTTGTGAATGAGAAATGATAGGCCCATCTATCCTCTTTTCTCTTCTCATTGCCTTCTCTCTTCAAAACTAAAGAAGTTTATTTTTTTCATTCAGATCTTCCTCCACTCTTCTTCCTTCATTCTTATAAATAAATCAAACCGATATGATATGATATGATATATCATAAATTTATTTTCTAATTATATAATATACAATATTTATATATTATTAAAATATTTTTTATCACTATTTTCTTTTTCTTCTTCCCCTCTTTATTTTTTGTCTGCCTTTATTATTTTTTTCTTTAATAAAAAGTCAAATACATACTTTCTATAACTATTTTTTGTGTATTTTTTTTTCATCTACGATCTCTCTCTCTCTCTCTCTCTTATCCTAAACATTATTTTTTAATATCTTTTGACATTAATTTTTTTTTTTAATAAAAAATTATATTCGGTTGAAATTGAATTATCCAATCGAATATTCGATTACTGACATATTAGATATTGATTCAATAACAAATAATTCGTCATTATCGGGTCAGATTGTATATAGTTCTTATTGTTTTCAAATCATAATTAGCCAATTTTAGTTTGAATCCAATCCATTTAGGTGAAATATTTTGCAGCTAAAAAATTATTGAATAATTCAGAGCTACTCACGATGTAGTAGTACCAAGAGTACCCAATATATTTGTTTCATTGTCGACCATTTATGAAATTTTTTTTTTGTTGATATCATGTTCACATTTGAAGTATCAATTGAGATTTATATTATTTACATGTGACACTAGATAATGGTCTAAATATAATTATTTCTAAATAAAAAAAAATAAAAACAAAGTCAAAACCCGAATTCTTCTAATTCATTGATGAAGGAAAAGTGTAATCCAAATATAGAGCAAGATGATGCTTGGGATGGTGGCAACTTAATTAATTGGAGAATTGCTTAACTTGGGTGCCAATCTTCTGTAAATGAGATATATAACAAATAAATATACAATGCTGATTAATGACTTATGGGCCCTTCATCATGATGAGATTAGGATAATAAGAATTCTATATTTCACGCCCTCCCAAACATAGTAACGTACATAGCCGGCCGCCGGCGAGCTAGTTTTACATGAATATTTTTATTCCTCTCTCTGATTCTCTTGTATATATATATTAATATATACATCCATAAATAGTACTGTACACTATATAGATACACTCCCATGGAGTTATTGACCAATTCTAGCATATATGCCGCCTGTCTATTGAATCATGTGTATATGTATAATGTGATCTCTTGTTTATCCTTGAGTAAGAGCATATATTCCCAATTGGTAAGTGGAGAGTTAATTTTAATCTAATAGTCATTTTTTAAACCCACTAATTTTCTTTCTTAAACTTGGGTTGTATTGATTTTTATTCCAAAAATTATGGAATTGGATTAGAGGCAAGAATGTAAAGAATTTCTTTAATTAAGAGAGGGACATATGAGCAAGAGAGCAAAGAGAGGGACTAGTATTTTCTATTTTGAAAATATATATATTTTTTTCTCTAATTGCCTTAATTATTAGAATGAGTGATATTTATAATCTTAAATTTAACTAAAATAGGCCGAGAGTGATTTTTCTATTTAAAGGAAAGAAAATTAGTCGGCTTGGAAAGTGACCATTAAATTATATCTAATGGTTCACATACGAAGTTTGAATAAATTCTCTTGATATATATATATATATATATTATAGGGTCTAACATATTATAGTGGCTAAGAGTATCTTCAACCGTTGTGTCTTTTTTTTTTTTTGTGTGTAAATTTGATGTGTCATGATATATTTATGCAACAAGTTGTTGTTTTATACCATTTGTATAAAAATATATCTCCAATAACAACCAATCGCCTGTCATGACATGACATAAGTAATATTACATTTACAAAACTACTTGATATAGGGTTGATTCTTTAATGGAATGAGAAAATAGGAGATAAATGAAATATGCTATAACGGTGTAAAAAGGTTATGTAAAATACACAACAATTTTATACCTGGGTGACGTGGCCGTGTATCTTAACAGATTGCTGGTGATAAAAAAAGATTTACGCATCATACGTGTCCGTGTATATTTTACACAAAAATACTATTTTAACATATTACTGGAGATGCTCTAAGATGTCTTTCCTTCAATCTCCTCGTTTGCGATTAAGGTAACAACTTCAGGCCTGATAGCATTGCGGAAGTTGAGGCAACTTCAGGCCCGATAGCAATATGCCGGATTCAAATTAAGGTTGTAATCAAGTGTCACTTCTATACTTACTAAAGTAGAAGGTTGAAGGATCAATTTCTCCAACAATGTGTGTGAATTCCTTTACGGTATAACTTATAAATAATCTTCCCAAAGTAATGTCCATACTACAAAGTTTTGCCGGTTGGTGTTAAAACATTGGATGGAGTGATAGTCCTATTGTGCTGTGCTTTGAAGTCCAAAGATAAATGTTTAGTGGAACCAAATAATGAACTGACACTGTCACTCTAGGTGAATTCTCCATCAAACTATTCCTAGAGACATAAGCACACACGATGAAAAAATAAAAACTGGGACAATTCAAAAAATTCCTATTCAATCATATTTAGAAGACTATTGAAGGCAGATGGCACAGGGAGGAAAAGATTTGGGATTAGATACAGTAGAATTAGATAATATAGCATATTGCATATGTCATACGTGGGGTAAAAAAAAAATCACTAGTAAAGTTGTTTCATATCGAAATCATTATTTCATTATTTGATAATTGTACAGAAGGGATAGGGAAGGGATGGATAAGGAATTTATAGGGAAAGAAAGTGTCTCCTTATTTTTTATTTTTGTTAGAAGGGAATGGATAGTAGAAAGTGATACTTTTTTTGTTTGGTTAGAAGGAAGTAAAAGAGAATTTTAATATATTTTTTACCAAAAAATTATAAAAGGTCGATGTCTATTTGAATTTTTTTGAAAGGTTAAAAATAGAAATTGTATATTGTAATCAAGGTACATTTCAAGGCACTAGAGCTTTTTAATATACAAACGTAGTTATTCATTTTCTCTATCCTCCCTTCTCCTTAAATTTGGACGGATTGAAAAACATAAAGAAATGAGGGATCCATCGACCACATAAAGAAATGAGGGATCCATCAACCATAAACGATAAGCTTCATTCATCTTTCCTCTCATTTTTACCGCCAACCAAACATAGCATTAGATGAGAGATGGTGAAAAATACGAAGAAATGGTTAGGAACTGACTTATTTTCCCAACAAGAGAGTTGGTAATGATAGAGAAAGATCAAATGGTCATTTTCCAACAATTACATCAAGCAATCCATTTTGCTGACTCTTGTCTTTTAAAATGATTGTTGAAAATCTTGTTCAAACTGCCACCCAATCTTGTTGTAT